GGAGCGGATGAAGGACTGGGTGAGAATCTGCGTTTCAGCCCCAGCAAGTCTCCCAGGGAGTCAGACCACTCGCGTGCCCAGCGATGGCTCTTACTGGAAAACGCTAGCTGCCCCGCCGCCTTTTAATATTTCTTTGATTTCCTTGCTTTTTTGTGGGTGTTTTTTTAAGAGGTCTTAGAAACTGATATGAATGCCCGAGGATCAGCCCTGAGGTGGAGGTGGGAGGGGCAGAGGCAGTGGGGGGGTCCCGTGGGGCCCTCCCCCCGCGGTGACGCCGCCTGGCCCCGGGCTGGCGAGGTTTCTGAGCACCTGCCCGTCCCACGCACCTGCCGTTCAGGCTCAGGCGGGCCGGGCCCGGGCGAGGCCTTGCCAAGCCCCACGGACACCGTCCACTCGACTTCCCGGGCGCTGTGGGTGTGCCCGGGAAGAGCTGGCCCCTTTGTCCGAGAAAATGACTTCACCTTGTAAATTCTGTAGTTTGCAAGTTGCTTTTCAATTTTAGGTTATCAAAAATCCCTACGGCTTTTTTATTCTTATCTGCATTTCCTCTAACACGGCTCATTTTTTTACTTGAAAGTGAAAGGAACTCTGCCTGAAATTTGGTTCCTCTGATTTGGCAAATGGTAGGTTTTCTTAAAAAAATTAAAATAAAATAAAATTAGAAGAACCATAGTCCCAGAGATACTGCCTTAGAAGTGAAACTTTTATTAAAATGGATATTCCATGCCTCCGGCTCGCGCGCACAGAGCACGTAGGCCCCGTTTTCTTATTGCCCTTAAATGCCTTCGAACCGCTGACGAGCGGGTGGGATATGTGTTCTTTGACTCTCAGGCATTGTATTTTACCAAATCTAAACTGCTGCCGAGTGCAAGATGCACTTTTATTTCACATGACCAAGTAAGAGAAAAGCACCGACAGTCCCACAGCTTCCTGCTGTCCCAGGGAGCAGGCGGATTTCAGAGGTGTTCAAATGTCAGGAGGAAGCGGGCATTTTATGACGTGGAAAAACAATCTGAGCTAGAGCAGGGCTTGACCCAGCGCCCGTTCTCCTGAGGACTTCCCATTGCTGCCAGGGGTGGAACTGGTCGTGTGCGGTTGGGGAAGAACAGAGGATCGGTGGTTGGATGGGAGGGCGGGTTGGCTGAAGTAGGGGTGCACAGAACTGGAGGAAAGAGGTAGCAAAGGGGAGCGAAAGATGCAAGCTGGGGGGTCGTTCAGAGCCACGGAGGGGCAATCTCTGGAGTCAGCAGGAAAATGCACACACTTGGTGTCCCCAGAAGCCACGGTTTTCCAGACTGTACGCCGGAGAGGTATTCTTAAGCATTGCCGTTGTCGTTTTAATTCTGAGGTCTTTAAAAATATTTAAAATTTGCATGTGCCCAACCACCAGGAACTGTACTGGTGAGTCAACAAAAGCCTTGAAAATGCTCCCTAATAAGTAGGGAAGGAGAAAAAGAGTCTTCACATTTAGTTTTTTCCTTTCCTTCTCTTTTTAAAGTATGTCTTTATTGATCTCAGAGGCAGGGAGAGGGAGAGAGAGAGAGAGAGAGAGAGAAACGTCAGTGATGAGAATCATCCATCCGCTGCCTCCCGCTCGCCCCCTACTGGGGACCGAGCCCATAGCGCGGGCCTGCGCCCTGACTAGAAATGAAACGGTGACGTCCGGGTTCATGGGTCAACACTCAACCCCTGAGCAACACCCTCCGGGTGAGGGCTTGTAAACTTGTTTTTATCTTGAACTCGGGCCTGCTCATTTGCGGTCATTTTTCACGTTAACTTGGGCTTGCTGCTGCCCCAGTGCTGGGGACGGAAGGCCACCCGGCCTCTATAGAGCTCGTCGTTTAGATGGGTACAGAAGCTCTGAGGGCGAGAAGACTTCCTTTGTCACCCTGGAGTGAGGAAGGCTTTCGGACTCAAAATGCAGACGCCGAGAAAGAAAGTTCCTTTAAATGCGAAAAAAGAAAACTCAGAAACTGTTGCGTGGTCCGAAAAAAAAAACCAAAACCCAGTATGAACAAATCAGCGGGCAACCGACAAGGACCCGGGAGGAAAGGGCTGACTCATCTCAGAGGGGAGGGCTTGCCTCCTGTGCACCAGTAAATAAACCGAAAAGGCTCCTGCAAACCAGCAAGAAGAAAAAGCAGGAAGTCCTTAGAAAAGCGGGCAAAGACACAAGCAGACAGTTAATGAGAAAAGTAGCTCACGGAGAGGAAAACATGCTCGATCCCACTGAGAGTCAGCGCCGTTTTTCTCTGATGAATTTGATTCTTAGAAACCCAGAGCTTGACCACCGGCTCTGCGAGGAGGCTGCTGTGTGCGAAGGCGCGCAGAGCTCGCGCGCGTTGCAGGCCGCTGTGTAAATTGCTGCAGCCACCAAGGCGGGGCCGTGGCCTTTTCCATCGGGATTGCAAACGCAGAGCCCCTCTGCCCCGGCTCTTCTGTCTGCCCTTCAGACCCGCCTCCACCTTCCCCACTCGAGACCTTGCGCTGGGACCCTGTCTTCTATGGGGACAGCCACCAGCATTCTTGTTCTCTGGCTTCTGGTTGAGCCCCAAGAGCAGGGAGGGACAACAGTGATGGGCCATTTATTTGTCCCTCAGCCCCTCCCTGCACAGTCACCTTGGGCTGGCTGAGCCTGGCTCAGGTCACAGCTCCTCACATGGAATTCTCTTCTCCCAAAGTCCTGTGTTGGCAGCTTCCCTTTGCCCCTCGAGCCCAGGGTGGCAACAGCCCCTGCAGTTGGTCGCTTCTTATGGGTTGCCCACATCCTGTCCACACATTTGATTAAAGACTCTCAAAATTTCCTGGCTTAAAGGCACAGCTTGCTGCTGGGCCTCTGACTGATGGGCCCTTTTGCTAAGCCGTCCAACTTCCAGGAGGTTTCCCTTCCCTTAGACAATCCCATGTGCAGAACGACCATGTCCAGGATCATTCAGGGCATCATAGGGACCGATGATATATATAAATGATACATGTTTGTAGAATAGTTTAAAAGCAACAAGGAAATTCTCTTTGCTGCTAATGTAGAAAGATCTCCCAAATATGTTTTTAAGTGGGAAAAGCCGGGGTGGGACAGGGCATGCATATGCTATCTCTTGTATAAAAACACGGGAGAAATAATAGGTTTGTTTTCGCTTATGCATCAAGATATTCTGAAGGACTCAGCAAAAAAAAATAATAATAATAAAAGTACTTTTCTAAAGGAAGCAAGTCTCCTCACTATTTTTTTTAAATGAGGTTTTCTCTCTCTCTCTCTCTTTCTCTCCCTTTTTTTTGTGCTCACCCAAGGATATTTTTTCCATTGATTTTAGAGAGAGTGGAAGGGAAGGAGGGAGGAGAGAGGAAGAGAGAGAAAGAAACATCGATGTGAGAAAGACACATCGATTGGTTGCCTCCCACACGAGCCCCGATGGGCCAGTAATGAACCTGCAACCCAGGTATGTGCCCTTGACCGGAAATTGAACCCATGACCCTTTGGTGGCCAGGCCAAGGGCACTATTTACCTTTTTGTATGTTTAGAATTTGGGAACCAGATGATTGTTACTGTTTTGAGAGTTAAATTTAAAATTTCTTCCTGCCTAGGTGGGGAATTGGTCCCAGAAGCTGAGCTCAGGTTGCTCGAGTACATGGGGGTAAATGGTCCAGCTCTCAGCAGGGGTCAGGAAGCCTGGACCCCGGAACCTCCCGCCAGTCTTTCACTGTCTGGTCTTCGCCCGTTTTAATTAGACACGTCTGCATTTTGGTCACCCAATGTTGATTTCCTTTCCTATGTGAAAGGAAGGAAGGGCTGAGGGAGCAACAAAGATGCTTTGGGACTACCATGCCTACGCGGTTGGACTCCTTAATTTGTATCTCCTGGGTAAGTGTTAGTTTTTGTCACCGCTCTTGTAGGAGCAGGCCTGTGGCGTCATCATCACTGAGACCCAGTGTCAGCCTGCCCAAGGGCAAGAGCCGAGCGGAACGGAGACTGGAGGCCTGTGCCGATAGGTTTCCGCCCTCCTGTTAATTTTAGGAAGACAAACACATGAACACGGAGTGACTTAAGGTTCCCTAGTGATGGGGAATAGCCTCCTTTGTGGTTGGAAGAGTAATCTCTCTTAACACCCTCCTTCCGAGGCAGGATGGGCTTTCTTACCTACCCATGGTTAGAAAGAGGCCAGGCCCCTCACCTGCTACCAACATCACCACCCCGAAAAGCCATCTCAACTTTGGGTCAGCGCTTCACTTATTACTGATTTTTTCCTATGGCCCTATTTGCGCCCTTTCTCCGCCTTTCTACTGATTCTGCTTTAGTATCGCCATGCCGTCTGTTCCATAGCTTATGAGTGGGCATCTCCCTGGGCAGGACCGCCCACGCCCTGCAGTGTTTAAAAACACCCCCGGCCTCCGCCTGCGAAAGAGGCCAACAACCCTTCCCCCCAACTCACTGCGGCCTCCGGGAAGCAAATGAGAAGCCCCGTTCCCATCACCAACGCCTTTTCTGCTCCACCACCCTTGGCGAATATCTTTACCTTTCAAGTTTTTAAATTAGCAACATGCTTATTTATATTTGGAGAATTTTTCCAGACAGATCATTGCTTCTCAGGGCAGCCCCTCAACCAGCCAACCACTGTGGTTAGTATCAGCTCATTTGGGGTGGACTCAGCACAGGAAAGTCTTCATGCGGTTTTAGCACGTGTGTGTGAAAGATTGCCGGACCCGGAGGGCAATTCTAAATGGAGCCCAGAGAAAGCGATGCTGGTCTAACTGTTTTTCTTCTTCCTAGTGCACATCGGGCCCGTGGTCGGTGCTTTGGAAGCTTTGTCTGGTAAGAGATTTTTCTTGACTAAAATCTCGTGTAAGGGGCAGAGTGTGGGGGTGACCTCCAGGGGTCTACAAGGTGGGATATTTGATTTCCAATCCCAGATCCGTTGCCTGTTTTGTTGGACTCTTTTTTTTCCTCCAATACTTTCTCTGTAAAAGGAGCCAAAATTAGCCAATGTGGTTTTCACATTCATCTCACAAAGCTGTCGTGAGAAATTAACACTAGAGACTATTTAAAAACACCTAAAAGAATCTTCCATTTAAAACCCTTAACAGAAGAGTTAGGAGACACAGACTGTGCCAAACAAAAATGGTCCAAAAATAGCTTCCCTTTGATTTGCATTCTCCCACCTGTTATTTTACACCTGGCACCAGATAAAGGAAAATCATTTTTTTAATTGAATTTATTTGGGGTGACGTTGGTTAATAAAATTATACAGGTTTCAGGCATACAGTTCTACAATACATCATCCGTATGTTGTATAGTGTGTTTACCTCCCCAAGTCAAAAGTAATTTTTTTAAACTAAACTTCTTGCATACATATACAAATCTGTCCATGAAACTTCACTCTGTGTTAAACCTGTGTCCAGGCCTGTGGTGAGCATGGGGAGTGAAGAGTTGGTGACCGAGAGGCAAAGGGCCAGGTCCTGGCTGCAGGAAACTTAAGTGATCTGAAAAACTAAATAAGGCAGATTTCAGAGGCATAGCTCCCAAGGCTCACTGGCTGCTTCCACTTCCCAGCCGCCTGACGTTGGGTCACTCAACTTCACAATTTCGCAGTCTGAAGAATGGGTCTATAGCACCTACTCCAGCGTTGTTGTGGGGACTAACTGCCTGAATGGGGCCAACCTGGGCTCACATTGTCCTCTCCCTCTCCTCTGGGTCAGGGAATGAGTTCGGTGGTGGGGAATTCAGAGCAGGAGAGGCCTGCGGTGGGCCGAGCTGTTCGGGGAGGGTCACCAGAGGAGCTGGGAGGTGAGCTGAGAGAATGGGGTAGCCCACGATGACATGGGGATTGGGATCCAATGAGCCACTGAGAGTAGATGATAACTGGGAAAGCCCCAGTTCTGTTTACACCTTGTTGACTTCCAGTTTCCTAAGTATTAATCGCTAAGTAATTTCATGAGTTCATTTCTCGTGTCCGGTAGGACCATTTTCTTCCTGTGTTTTCAGGAACCCTGGGCTCTGGAGAGGGCTTCTTTGTCAGGAGTGAGGGCTCCAGATCCCGAGGGACAGTCTGCGCACAGTGGCCAAGATCCAACCCTGGGTTCCAGATTTCAATGTTTCTTTTTTTCTCTCTTGTTCCCTTTAGAGTTTCCAGAAGAGTCGTGCATTTTCAACATAACCCTAAGAAATTTCCGGCCAATCTTATCATGGGAATTAAGAAACCATTCCATCGTACCAACTCACTACACGTTATGGTACACGTGCATGAGGTTAGCTTGCCGTTTCAGCCTTCTTTTGCTAAATATGTTATCTATCTACCATGTGGGGGTGGGGGGGGTGGCTTAGTGCAACAGCTTTTCTCTCCTGGCCCCCCCCACCTCGGGTGTGTGTGTTTTGTTCAGAGCTTTAAAAGTCCAAAGACAAAAACACAAATCCTTTTTTAATTAAATAGAATACTTCACAATTCAAGGCTATTTTTGACAAAGCTCGTATTGATAACCAAAGCCAATTTCTATGGCTCAAAGCCTCAGAAGCAAAGTAATTATCGTGTGTGGTTTTCACAATTATTTCTCTAATTCAGTGAGTGCGAATATTTAAAAGTGCTCCCTTTTCCAAGGTCAGGAGTCCAAAGGTCGGGGGACCAGATCAATGGTCTGTGTGCACTTTTCTTTGCTCAAGGAGAGAAGTGGCACATGAAAAAGCTTCCTGGCCCCGATTAGGAATGGCCTGGGTCCAGCGTCCTGCCTGGTCACAGCTGTGACCCTGGTGTGACCCTGGGCGCAGAGCTCTGTGACTCTGAGCTAACAACCCTTCCACTGAGGAGTCAATGCAGGCTTAACAACATGATCACAGAGCCTCCTTTGGCTCTCTCCTCCCGATGTGGAACAGTCACCCTCCTCAGTCACAGTTGGGCCCAGAGGCTCCTCAAAGTGGCCTTTTGTTTGTTGTTTGTTCGGCTTAAAGCTGTTACTACTACGGACAGACCCGGAGGGCCTTTTGAGTTTGGGGCCTGCTAGAGCCTTCAGTCTCTCTCTGGTCTGGGCCGTCCCCTGCATCGCCACCTGCCCGTCTGAAGCTGAAGAGATGGGATGTCTGTATTGTCCTATGTAGCACAGGCTGACTTAGGACTGGGCCGTGGGGTCCTCAGCCTGAGAGAGACTGGGTGTCGGGGTGGAGGGGGACCCAGGGCCTCCACCATGAACGCCCAAGGTTTGTGCGCACATCCACCTGGCAGATTTACTGAGCACCCGCTACATGCAGAGGACAACCAGGAACCAGGGTCCCTGCCCTGCTGGCGTGGGCATTCTGAAAGTAGGCGCAGGCGCCAATAAACAGAGATACAGTGGTCAGGTGGTGGTAGACAGTGCAGGTGAAAATGTGCAAGTAAGGAGGGTGGGGGGGATGGTGTTCTGTTTTAAGTGAGGTGGTTGGGCCAGGTCACCGGATACAGTGACATGTGGCCCAGAGCGGCAAAGGCAGGGGGAAGTGGGCCATGCACCCAGTGGATTCTCATAACGTAAATGCCGGTTTTCCTTCTCCTGTTTCTTTTCCTATCAAAGTAAAGAAAAAGAGATGAAGATCGTCGAGGAGTGCACCAACATCACGAGAACATTCTGTGACCTCACGAACAGGTGGGGCAGCTCTGCCGAGATGTACTTCACCAGGCTGGAGGGCTTCCGAGGGAGCACAAAGCTGGTCAGCTGTTTGAGCTCGGTCTTCCCAGATGTGCACAGTGAGTTGTCTGTCTATCGTCGTTACAGTGTTGTCAAGACATTTTCTCTGCCGTGAAATAGGTGGGTCTGCAGAGATGCTCTCGACTTGGGCCCGGTTTGCCTCCTGGCTCGGCCATTGCCCAGCTCTGTAGCTGGATGGTTACCCTGCTCCCCTGAGCCTCAGTTTTCCTGTCTGGAAAGTGGAGCAGTCATCGGTACTTTGCCCATGGCTGCTTACCGCCTGTGGAGGGCAGACATTCGGGCAGGGTAGGTTTGTCTGGTTGGTTTGTCTGGTTGGTTTGTTTTACAGCCTGACAGGAGGTGGGGAGCGGGGTTACATGGCCTGTTAGCTGGGCTGTCACACCTCCTTGGGCCAGTATTTTCCTTAGTACTGC